TTCTGCATGCGTTGTGCGGCGGGCTTTTCTTCTCCTTGTCTTTGCCCTTTTGTGTGTGGGAAGGTTGTGGGAGAGGATATGTGCGGGAGTGAGCGTGGGTGGCTGCCAGCCTCGCCCTGCGCATTGGAGAATTCCATACACGTGGCTCTGCTTGACGGCGTTTCGCGGCACCCAGGGTGTGGCGAGGAGGAGGATGAGGAGGATCTGTTGTGGGCAGAAGGTGGATGGATGACACAGTCCCCTTCCGTGTCCTTCCCTGTGTTGTTGGCAGTACATACTGAGAGCGTAAACTTGAGCGAGTGCGGGATGAAAGGTTTATGCCGCTTTGTGTGTGCTACTCAATCGTCGTCATTGCAGGCGGTCGTCACGGTGCGTTGCGGTGCGGTGCCGTTTGATGAGGGAGGGGCGCGATGCCACGGCTGCTGCGCACCACGACCATTTATTGCCTCTGCACCGTCATTGTTGTTTTTCAGTCTGTGTGATTTTTTTCGCGCTCGCATAATATTTTCTTTTGCTCCACGATGAATTTGTTGTGGGAGCTTTGATTTTGGTGCCTGCTTCACGGCGCTTTGCCTTGTGTGTCGGTTGCGGTGCTTCCACGTGGTGCCAAGGCGTTTGATGGGGTGTTTATTCTTCTTTTTGCGCCCTGCAGCTAATCTTGTTTGGTCATGGCGGCAGCGGTGGGGCTCTGCGACTGTGCACCTGCCATGCGTGTCTCATCCTTTGCCGCTGTTCCCTCGTTGTGTTGGTGGGGGAGGAGACGAGCGACTGCGTCGGTGGAGTTGCGCCCCAGTGGGAGAGGGAAGGCACCGACCGCTGCTGACGGCGACGGTCTTTGCTGCAGGCGATGTGACGGGAGGACGTCACCGGTGTCACAGTCAACCGAGATGGATGAGGCCGCACTGCGTCTTCCGCCCCTCTCATCATCCTCTCTGTCCACTGCAGTCACACGCCACACGCACCGCAGAGCAGCGTCGCGACCACCATCCGGATGTCTGTGAGCCAATTGGAATGCAAAATCGATGTGGACCCTTTTTCCCCGTGTTTGAGTGCCGCCGTGCTTCCTTGTGTTTCCTCTGTTGTGTATTTCGGGCGCGCATGGTGTCGCTGATTGCTGTGCAATGCCGACTCGCGTGAACGAGAAACGATGCTTTGACTGCTGGCGACCGGCGAGCTCTCCACTCCACTTACGCACCAACACCAACAACACCTTTCGGACGCGCTTGATGGCCGGCGGTCGTAACGCTGCCACGTGGTCTGCCTCGGCTCTTGTGTGTCGTGCACGGCATCGGGACCGCCCCGTGATGCAGCCACTCGGTAACAGGAGCGGTGCCAGTGGTCATGTGGCTTTTTGCCGGGATTCCGCCACTCGGCACGGTGGCTGTACGGGGCTGTGTGGGCGGTGGGAAAGGCGATGGTGTCACTGACTTGATTGCGTCTGCGCTGCTTTGCTTCGGCGGCTGTATTGTGATGGTTATTGTGTATGACCGGATGCCTCTGCGTGCCACTGTGTTTGGTTACTGTTGTTGCTGTCTTTTTTGACCGTGCAGTTA